TGGCTGTTTGTCCTTGAGACATTAAAGCCCAAGAGCAGGGTCAGATTTTAATCTTGTTAACAGCCAAGTAAGTTACCAAGTCACCTCATATATGAGATTAAATTTATTCTCTAATTTCTAGATGTTATTTCACAATCAGATCCATCCCTTGGGTGGATTGCTCCATACTTAATGCTCTGTAAAGATGGTTATTGTCACTATCCACCTACCTCTGAATTAGCTGGGCAAAAAACATGATAATGTTTAGATAGGACCAAGTCCACATTTCATGTATCTAAAGTTTTAGTCCAACATTAACATAATACTGTGCATTATCAGAGATTTTAAAATTAGCACTTTGAACAGAAGTCCCCGGAGGCTATGGCCTTGTCTTGTTGATGTCACTAGTTAGGTTACACAGCTAATTCCATCAGAGCCATTGAACCAAGTGTTAGTGTGTGAAGAGAGTCCATGAGTCGATTGCCAGCCCAGAATTCTTTCTGACATAGGAAAGCAGATGATCTCAACTTTTGAGCGCATAAAGTGCATATTTCTAGTTGAACGGTTCTTGACAATAGCGTCGTCTGAAACATAATGCCTGGCCGGGAGCCAACGGTTATGCCACCATACAAATCACTGTGCCTCTGACGCCAGAACGCCTCTGTGTGATGGTGACAGGAGATCTCAGTCCTGGTGTTCCACAAGATGTTGCATTGCCCCCTTTATTCTTTATCACACCCTGGAATTAAGGATTTTATTTAGACCACTCTCAGGAAATAAGTGCTGGTGGAAGGAGAGGAATAGAGAAGGCAAGAGACCTTAGTGTAGTTTGAGAAATAGCTTTGCTATTTCATGATTTCCATTAGGATAAAATCAGCCCATGTTTTGAAACCTAGTTTTATTAATTGTTTAATAGATATTTTCACTTTAAATCTCTTGTTTAATTATACAACTAAAACAGCTTGGTTCAAACTGTTAGCTAATGATCCATATATCATTTTAGTGGTTGCTAGCTGCATTTAGAAATGCATTAATTTTGTAAGAATTATAGACTTTCAAGGGTGAAAACATAGGGAGATTTTCTTTTAGGTTAATAAATTAGAACACAAATTTGTTTCAAATGTTATTTTATTGTGACGTATTATAAACCTAAAATTAATAGAGCATCCTTATGAAATTATAATTCTTCATTTTAGTTTGCCTTTAATTATCTTTTTAACATTAAAAGTGGATAGATCATACTGTATAAATGCAATTGGTGATGTAAATGAAATCTAAGTTATGCAGTGTTCTTTTCAAAAGGAATTATGCACCAGTTAAAATATTTAGCCAAATTTCATCTCTAACTTTGAAACTGTTCGCTGATTTTAAATTCCAGCGTTTTTCCCCCAGAAATAACTCCTCAGAGCATTTTCACATTTCACATAAGTAGATCTAAGCATCTTATATGATAGGAATATTTTTCCCAATGAAACTAAAATTGCCAGTGTTTCTTTTTTTTTTTTTTTGCCTTCCGTTTAGTAAACATTTTCTTTTCTTATTAGCTAAGTGTAGGTATTAGCCTATTATAAAAATTGTACGAGTCTCTTTTAAATATGGCTAGTAACTCAAACAGAAAGGGAAGAGATCATTGAAAAGGTTTCTTGTGGTTTGAAAAGGTCTTCCAAATATTCATTAAACATTTAAGTGAGTAAATTTGTAGAATATGCTTCTGCCATTGGCACTGGTTCTGCGGTATTTCTCTGATCAGATGAAAGTGCTGTGTGTTATGCAGAGTGCACTCAGCTCATTCATGCATAAACAATATCATTTTCATAAATTAAAACCTCCCCTGCAGAAGGAACATCTGTGCCCGCCTTTGAATAAAAGATGGTGGCATGTGAGCTACTCCTTGACTGACTGGAAGAATCCTTATGGTTTAGAAAGAAGTTATAAAATGAGGGGGAAAAAATCAAACCTAACTTGCAGTCTTCATTTACACCTTATAAAAACCCCCACAGTCTAGATTCCCCTGCTTGCTGTTTTAAAAGCTGGGTTCTTTTGATTCTTATAATGTTATCCCCTTATTTCTTTTGTCCACTACAGCAACAATTTTTAGTTTGCATGAAGCTGATTTTGATTACAGGTGAAATGGAGCGGCTGAAGAGATCACATCAGATCTGAACGTACACTTCACAGTCCCCTAGGCTGGGAGGGTGGCAGTGTTCAGACACCAGGTCCGCATTATGTCTCTTAAAGCAAGAACAGTGAGAGCAATCTTGAACGTGGGAAGCAACAGCTTGGTTCCAGAACAACAAGTCTGATTCACTTGGAATGAGATTATTGCGATTTGGATAAAGTTGGGACTACCTTAAGAGCATTTCTGTCATGGGATGAAGCTGATGGAAAACATGCTAAAATAATATAGTTTAAAGTGCGCTCCGACGTTTTCCTAATGTAGAAATATTCCTCGCTGCTACCGTCACAGCTTGATGTGGCCCCGTTGGCAATGTTATTAGTATGGCTAATTGTTCCTGTCCATTAGATTACTCGCATTTTTCTGGAGCAGCCTGCTAAATGAGGTCAGCTTTCTGGAACCCCTCAATCACCAATGAGAAGGAGATTAAAGGAACAAGCTTGGGAAGGGAGGTAGTCATCCAATGTGGCCTCCAAATCAGAGGAGGAACAATGGAGTTACTAATGACAGTAATCAGAGCACCAGGGTAGAGCCAGAACACAAGTGCCAAATGTTATTCCCTAGGAATCTTTCCTGTCAGTCAATACATCCAGAGGAACAGAAATGCCAATTTTTTTTTTAGTGGACTTAACAGTGGGCAGAATCATCTGTAAGTTTTTCCAGTGAATTTTGTTTATGAAACAGCACAATAGTGCTCCAAAGGAGATGGGGAAACAATTATACCTTCCAACAATATATCATAGTGCGAAGAGTATGTTCTTGAGGACAAGTAATTCATTACCTTTTATTTTTGAAAAATTACTGAAATCGTCACAAGATCTTTATAGAACAATTATAAAATGCCACTTCTTGGATTCTTCAAATTAATTAAATAACTTCCCCCAGGCATTTTCTAAAGGTAATAACTTTCTTTTGGGGATAACACTGGTTTGCATTAGAGAACATTTCAGCTCAGGAAAATATACAGATAACAAAGTACCAAGCAAGTGGTAAAGTTTTTTAAATATATATTTTGATATGTAGGCAGACTAAGCCAGGGTACTCGTTTGTGCCTTGTTTGTTAATAATTAACTAAATCCCCCCTTAAACAATTGAAGAAAACACATAACATAATCATTTAAAAGAATGAAAACCCAAAAGCTAAATGTGAAGACTGCTTAAGGCAAAGAAAAACAAAAACAACAGTTTGTCTCTCCACAACCCTCCCCTCCCCCACACACAGCTTCATATTCCAAGTAATAAAATATCAGTTAGGCTCTTTCATTATCTACAAAGTGCTGATGGCTCCCTAAGCAAGATAAACAGACTAGAGACAGGCTAAAGTAAACTTTTCTTTTTTGTTTTATTCTACAAATACTGTTTAGTAGTTTCTTAATTCAGCAAATAAAGCAACTATTCCACTTGGGAATTATTTATACTCAAAAAAAACCACTTTAAGAAGAAATGCAACAATTGCTCAGAATTTTAATACTATTTTATTGCAATTGAATGAGTGTTTTCTAAATTGTGCATTACACCATCATATACAGGATTACAAACAAGATTACAGTACAGATCGATCGCAGTGGTACCAGTGTCACATCTCAAACAGCACTTATTCTGGACTGCATTTTACATGCAATAGCTACTGTCCTAATTATGAATTAAATGGTTTGAATTTATTTAAGCTACTGTACTAATTGACTACAACAGGTATAAATCCCAACATTAACAACCTGATTTGATTTAGGCTCAGATCCATTACATGAACATAGGACAAACCACCATTGGTATGACTATGTATAAAATCATGCATTTATATTTTCTAGAAACATCAATAGCTTCGGATTCTCTGTAAAATCATGGAATGCAAAGGAGTACAAGACTAAAAAGAAACAGTGCAAATTGTACGTGATAGTCAAGCAGCTTTTGATTTAAAGAAGGGTATGTTGGCATTTGTTTATAATATGTATATACAAGCTTGTGCAAGTAATGAACTGATATGTTTTGTTAGGGAATACATCTTTTTTTTTCATCCTCTTGGGTGTTATGGATCTGGTTTTCATTTTAAAGAGAGAGAAAGACTTTAAAGTGAAATGATTTGCTCAAATTGTGCAATTTTTTAACAATTAGAGAGGAAAGAAGTGCTAAGGCAACGCAATAACTTTCTAAGCACTTTTCTGCTGGTTTAAATTAGTTAAATTATTTTGTATAAATTAGATATAATTCTACTTTTCTGATATGTATAAAAATTGATGAAGCTGCATGGTTTTAAAATAGGAAATCCACATTATAAAAAGTCATTAAAAATTCTGTACAAAATCACAACAAAATAATTCAGCATGGGAAAGGTAACAAGTAGTAAAATGCTGGTTGAAAAATATATATTTATATATATTTTAATTGGCCCATTACTAGTTTAAAAATTGCATAGATCCTAATTATTGCTTGTGATTTTGTTATCCCGATCAGACAATTAATATGATCTGAATACAGACACCAAATTTGTGGTGCTTTTTTTTTTTTTTTTTTTTTTACTTTCTTTTTTTTTTTTTTTTTTTATAA